TAATTTACGAGCTACCCATTGACATCCTTCATTAGTCCCACATTAGTGTGCCGGTTAACCACACACGCTCCACTAACGACCAATAAGGTGCAATGTGCAATTTCATGGTTAGCATCAAATTCACATTTCCTAAAGTAACTAAGATTGGGAATTTATAAAAGCGTTTAGTTACTTTATAATTCATTATACTTTTATTGAGGATTTAGAGTCCTATCCTACCCATTCGGCTAACGACCCTCCACTAGTCAAGAGTGCGGTAGGTAAGAGTGGATACCCAATGGCGGTCATTTTACAGGCCGCTTCCTTAAACATCCCTTATAGACCAGCTTCGTAAATGAGGCCTACTAACAGTAAGACTGACTTTTCTTATACATATATAATATATTAGACTTTTAATTTTATATAGTATCAGGGTGTATTTTAAACATTTAAAATACTAAGGTTTAATCTTTTAATAAATTAAACTTTTAATTAATAAATCTAAACCATATTATGGATTTCTTAATTCTCTCTTTTAATTAAACACTTAATTAATTTTATTAATAAAGTCCATGAGAGTATATTTCTAAAGTATTCAAAAATACTAGGGTTTAACCATTTAAATTTCTAAAATCAAAACCTTTTAATTTCAAATTTAAACTATAAAACCAAAGGGGTGTATTTTAAAACTTTTCAGAATACTAGGTTAAATTTCAAATCAAAATAATCTTATATTATCCAAATTTAACCAAATCTTCTAGTTTTGATAAGGATATCAAGTTACCATTCAAAAATTCAGTTTTAGGCAATAAAAACGAATTATGGTAATTATCCTATTCAAAAATTGATCAGAAAATCGAAACATCTAGAAACTGACGAGTCAACTAGTCGAGTTGACAAGTGAACTCGTCGAGTTCATATTGAACTCGTCGAGTTTAAGCTCCAGGCAGCAAATTTCGACTTTCTTGTTCTTTGGACAATTCACTATTGCATCAATTTAATTGAAAACAACATGTCTCTGATACCACTGATGGGTTTTGACTTTCAAGTTGACAAGTGAACTCGTCGAGTTCAAGCAACTAGTCGATTTCATATTCAACTCGTCGAGTTTAAGCTCCAGGCAACAAATTTCGACTTTCTTGTTCTTTGGACAATTCACTATTGCATCAATTCAATTGAAAAACAACCTGTCTCTGATACCACTAATGGATTTTGAGCATATCTACATTCCTATGTGATCATGCAACTCTAATTGCTTTGGATCTAAGTTTTTCACTAATTGAACATGCAAATTGAACACCAAAGCAATAACCCTATAACTAGCATATAATATTCGAAATTCATATGAAAACAGGGTTAGAAGATTACCTCACTTGTTATATTGTAATAACAAGAAAATCCTTGAAGATCCTCGACTCTTGAAAGCTTAGTGCCCCAAGTGTTGCACCTCTAATGGAGTCACAAACACCCAATGCAAAGGATGAGATGGAGAGACAAGGATTTTTGGTCAGGGTAAGTGTCATATGCTTAGATCCTAAAATCCTAGGGTTTAGAGGGTTTATATATGGCTAGGTTGCTTAGTCTTGAAGCTGGACTTGAATAAGGAAACCCTAATTCTTACATTAAGCCCAAGCAACCCATGGACCTCCTTAATGAGCCCTTGGATGAAATCTTATGGAGTTACCCATAAATTTCATCTACTCCACTCCATGAAGCCCTAAGTCCAGATTCACAACTATCAATGATTTGCAAAACAGCCCCTCCATTATTAATCAGTCCTTTTTAATCCCAAAATTAATATCAAATTAATTTCTGATTAAACACCAATTAATAATATGATTTCCAAATAATATATTAATCTTGTAATATATTAATAAAATCATTTTGAGTACCGATTTATTATTTCAAATAATAAATCGTACTCTCTCTCTCTCCACTAGTCATCCTGTTAAGTTGCATGAGTGAAGGCATCCCAAAAGGACCATGCTCCAATCAAATCAAGTACATACCAATTATAGTTATGGGCTTAGACACCTAATCCAACAATACTAAGACTTAGTGATAATTGAACCTAGGTCACGTCAAAGGAAAAGCTAAGTGCTGAAGCGAAGTGCTGCCCGACTTTCCAGTCATCCACTTTAACAAGTGAGTGCATAGTTACTTTCATCATACACATAGATATAAAGTATCTTGAAGATTAAATGCTATGGTGCCTATTATCTATATTAATTTGTATATGTGATAGATAATATGATTTTTCTAGCTTTAATCGTATATGTATTTTCGTATATATATTATATTAGGTAGTGATGGGTGATGAAAGATAAAATGATGAGATGATGATGAAAGGCATTGACTGTTGATGAACCCTTCTTCTAACAGAGTATAGATGACGGCCACAAACTATTCTAGATAGTTCAGTGGAATGTTGGTAGATTCGCAACCTGTAGGTGTAATGAACTATCCGTTCATTTGATGTACTCTATCCCCCATGGTTGCCATATTGACATATATTGCTAAGGTAATCCACAAAGTCGTATTGTCTACCCGTTGCTGATGATGATCCTTAGGATAGGTACCTTGAGGTCAGTATTTTAGGACCAATATGTGAGAATAACAGGAATGGGTAATCGGGTATATTATTTGATGTTGAATATATAATTAAAGAACTTAATTATTGTGGGTTGAAAACCATATGTTCTCACAAGGCCCCCAAGCCTGAACCACGCAGTTTCTTTGTATCACATGTAGCGGTACGAAGGCCCAAGGATGTTGAGTGATTGATGAATTTGTAGGCCATAGTATAATAAATTGTTGTAAGGCCTGATCAAACATCTTTATGCTTATGTATTTGTATTGACAATAGCATCCTATGGTATTAAATATAAATGAAATACATTCCTTCGGAAATGCTTCGATAATGATATTATCATGTTTTGGGAACAAATTCCGCAATAAGATTTATACTCTGAATTAAATAAGCATAAAAAAATTAATTGGCCATGAAAATGGGGATGTCACATAACATCACACCACACTTACTAATTTGGTTATGAAATTAGTTTGTTAATTTTTGACCAAACAAAGCTGAAAAAGAAGTTCAATAGCGTTAAGATACAGAAGACAAAAGAGATGGACCCTCTTCATAGATGAAGCTTCCAATTCTAAAGGATCAGGTCCCAGAGTCGTACTAAAATCACCATAATTGGACATTATACCCTATAGAGTAATTTTTGATTTTCAAGCAAACAACAACGTGCATAATATGAATCATTAATCTTGGAATTAAAACTGCCCAAGATCTTGGGATCAAACATCTTCATGTACATGTTAAAAGGTCTTGGCACATTCATATATATATATATATATATATATATATATATATATATATATATATATATATTACCAAAATGGTTATATGTATTCATTTGGTTTTGTTATTTGAGGACCAAAAGGGGCCAAATTATCATACAGTTGTTCCAGCATATAGTACAAAAAGAATAATAAGGGGATGTTTGGTAGCATCTTAATTAAGAAATTAAGAGGCAGCCTCTTATTATTTCAGACGTAGAGCGTTTGTTAGCCTATGAATAAAAGGCTCTTAATTTCTTAAAATCCTCTTAAACATTACGACTTGAATTTGTATCTAAATAAAAAAAATATGCGTACTTGCCCTTTATTGCCCTCATATGAACGCTTCCATAACCGACCTTCACTAGATCTTCTCTCCTGTCTCCTCCCAGCTCCGACCAACTCCAACGCCAACCACCTCCTCCAATCACCGAACACCTCATCCTATCGTCGACCACCTCCTCTCATCGTCGACTCGCACAACACCACCGCCCCATCATCGACCTCGTACACCCATATGTTTTACACAACTTCTGATATCACTCCCACCTCCATGAAATTGACTCCCACTATGACCTCCGATGCCAAGCTCCAACATCGCCAGTTCCGCCCTCAAAAGCGCCGCCCTCACCAACACCTGTCTCCGATCTCCGATCTCCTTTATTGGTCAGGTACAAAGTTGCTAAAATCACTCCTCATTCGTGAAATCGAATTTTTTTCATGATGTGAAATCAAAAATCAATTTAATATTCTAAGTTTTTAAATGTTCATGTTTTGGGTTTTCTGTGATGTTGTGATGTTTTGAATCGGTGGTGAAACATAGCCTCTTTCCAAATTAGTTACTGATTTCTTGTTTCATGGTATAATAATGATTGTTATTATCCTAAACTGATGTATAGTTTCCTAATTGGTTATTGATTAGAGCATTGTGTGATTTTTGATGGTTAAGATGATGGTGGATGAAGGCTATGAACTTTTTTTTGTCAAAATTGTTCCTTTTTGTCTCTCATTTGAGCAATTGGAACTTTAGGCATTGATGTTTGACCTTGAGCAATTGGAACTTTGGCATCTGTGTTTCTTGTATCCATTTTTGCTTTTGTATGATGAAGAAGTTAATTTCTCATCCACTCTGCAGAAAATTCTCACTGTGAAACAAGGTGGAAAAACCATTAAGCTTCAAATTGTGAGGATTTTCTTCTGAAAATATATTATATTTGTATGAATTGGGTTGTATACATGTAATGTGATCCATATAACCATAGAGTTCAGGTTGTTTTCATAGCTATTGTAAAATTATTTTTGTAAGGATTAAATACAAACAGCAATGTACTTTTATTGATTTATTTATTATAGCATCATACTTTTACTTCTTTATATTAGAGCATTGTTTGATTTGATTTTTGTCAAATATTTATGTTTGATTTGATTTTTTTAATTTGAATTTTATATTGTGTTTATACTTTTTTTTATAATTATTCACGAAGTTGGTTTGGTTATTTTATAAACAGAAACATTGAATTCAACAAAAAATAACACTGAAGGGTATTTATAATTCAGCACATCAATTCAAATGTTCCAAGCAAACAGCATGTTAAAAATTCAGAACTTAAAGTTTCAGACCCTCTTAAAAATTCAGACCTCTTAAAAATTTAGATGCTGTCAAACAGTCCCTAAGAATATCCCTGAAAATAAAGATTTAGACTCTGGTCATAACAGATTTTCACATTTACATTTTTCCTCTCAAGAAATTTTGATCAAACAGATTTCATAATTCATAATTTTAAAGTTAAAGTATTAGTATTTAATAAGTTGCGATTTTGGTCTCTTACGGTATTTTAAAGTTAACTTTGTGGTCTCTTACATAATTTATTTTATAGTTTTCATTTTTTAGTATTACTTTTTACTCAATTATAGTATTCAATGTTTCTAATTTATTTAAACGTTTTAAAACTATATGGTATTTATTGTTGTATTAGCTCACAAAATTTATGCGTATTAGACAAAGCAAGATACATTTTCAAACCTTATTTCGTTCGCCTCCTTCATACATAATTGTTTGCATTGAAACTTTATTTTTATACTTTTTTGGTCTACTTGATACGATCGTCGCCACTCTATATGTGGACTGTTAAAATTTGGAAATCATATTCTATATTCAAATTGCAATGGAGTTTCCAGTTGCAACGCACATTGACTTCAAATAGTTTCATATTAAAATTTTGATTTTGTTGTATTTTGAATTTGGCACACAATTCATGGTACAATACTAAGAATAGCTTGTCACTTTTGCAATCTTTCGAAATAGTAAATATGATATCACAAAATAAAATAAAATTGCTACATTACAATACACATTGCATTAGGAAATCATCAAAAGAAAGGAGATCATCAAATATCGCAACATATCGGATTTATTCTATAAATGTAATTAACTCTGACTTATTAAACCAACATTAAGCATGACATGTTGCGGGTGTAGATACACACTAGAAACATACCTTTACACCAAGCACTTCCATGAATTGAGCGATGAACTGAGGGTGTCCTGGCCAGGCTACTCCGGTCACTAGATTTCCATCAGTAAAGCAACGGTGCATTGAATGAGGTTCTAACCAGGTTGCACCAGCCAATACCACATGAAGTTTGGCAGCGGGATATGCCGTACATTTCTTTCCCTAGTAAACGCATTAAAAAGGAGATAAATGCAAGAAATAAAGATGTATTTTTTATTTGTTTATTACAAAATTGTACTTTTAAAAATCTACCATGTCGTAGCAATGTTCTCCGAATACAAAACAATTTTCTTGGAGTCCATGATACTAGGATGGGACTCTAACATGTATAGGCGCTTATAGAACTGTGTCGCACTAATGTAGGTTACACTAACAATAATCGGGTAGAATTTTCAAAAACCCAGTGGTACACAAATGTGATGTATTTTTATAGATAAATTATTGCAATGGATATAAAATGGTTTTAATGCCACAAGAATTGATAAAGAAACACCATGTTGTTTATAAACCTCTCAAAGGTGTCATTGCCCATCAAGGTGTAAACATGAACAAACTACAAAAAACAACTTCAGAATTGTAAAGAAAGAAACTTAGAATGTAATTCACTAACGGGATAATTGAGAAGAATACATTTACATTATAACCTAATACTTATAGGAAAGTAATTCTTAATTAAGAAAAGTAAAAAAATTAGTACATTTAGAAAACTAATTAAAAAAAGAAAAAAACTTCATTACCACATCATTTAATTTTTCATACCATCCTATTATTTTTTTCTACAATGCACTAAACTCTACAAAAAAAAATTATGGAACATACGTTTATAAACAAAATCATTTCTTTCTTAATCATTTAATATTAAATAATTCATTTTTCTGATTGAATGCTTTAATGGTAGTTGAACTCCATATTAATTGAATGCCAATATGACATCTCATTATTGTTGAGTTTAATCCATTTAATGTCAACAGGACATTCCATTAAACTATGCATTATATATATGGTCTAATGTCTTATCATGGTTTTCTAATAAGGAAAGAAACCACTAAACTTATCTTGATATTACAACTACACAGCTTGTAGTTATAATATGGTCGTAACTTCACCTTATCTTTAACATCTAAACTCAAACCAATAAAAACCAAACCATATTCTCTAATGAAAGGTGACTGATAATGTTTTTGATTAAATTCCTAAATTCTCTTAAGAAAAAACCTTACCTTAAGAACATCAGCAGCAGCCAAAATTTGTTGCCCATAGCTGATGGATGCAATAGGTTTTCCAGCATCCATAAAGTATTTCACCAGTTTAATAACATCTTGATCTAGTGCCATATATTCTGGACCTCGACCTCCGGGGATAACAAGACCATCATAACTTGAAGCATCTATGTCCTGAAAGGTAGCGGTTATTTTGAATTCATGTCCATTTTTTTCACTGAAATTTTGGTCCCCTTCAAATTCATGGATAGCCGTATAGCACCTATCACCCTTTTTAATTTTGGAGGAAATGGAATCTACATGGCATCCAAGAGCTTGAAAGGACTGAAAAGGAACATATATCTCATAGTCTTCCATGTAATCCTACACACGAAGCAAAATAAAGACAATCACTAATTAATGATGTAATTAATTAACCACCATATTATAGCATTACACTTTAAAACACCCATCCACTTATAGCAATGTCATCCGAATACAAAGAAATTTTCAATACCATAAGTGGGTAGATTTCAAAATATAATATCTTAATAGAAATACAACGCTATAATTGGCTAAACTATTTAAAGTACAATGTCCTCATAAAAAAACAAAACATAGTACTATAATAAAAAGAAATGGTAGTAGGATGCTATACAACACAAATAAATGACGGTATGTTGTTATTTCTTACAGTTAGCCCTAAAATATATATCTAAAAACTCGGTTAAGTAATAACATGGAAAAAAATGCAAGAAACAACACAAAGTACTTAATTATGACTTTTTACTATACCATTGTACTATCGTTTTTTCTTTTACTTACAAATCATTCCTTATTATAATTTTTAGTCTATAGAATCTACCCTATTATAGCAACGTTAGCTTAATTTTTGCTTATATCAAGAAAGGAATTACAAATAAACAACTTACCCCACAGAGGAATAGAATCCTTTTGTTGAAACCAGTGACAGTTCCTCCTAATGCCTTAATGAAATGACCAATATACTCAGCATGCCCTTCGTAAGAAGCTCCAGTGATTAAATTTCCATCAACAAAACATGATGCCATTGTCTCAGGTTGTACCCAATTAGCACCAGCAGTAACAAGCACGGGTCCTAGTGTAGGAAATGCTGTAAGTGTTCGACCTTTCAAAACACCACCAGCTGCCAAGATAAGTGATCCATGGCAGATGGAGGCAATGGGTTTTCCAGTTCTTGCAAAATGTTTTGCAATTTCCACCACAGATTCATATGTCGCAAGATATTCGGGACCACGTGCTCCTGGTATAACTAACCCATCATATGAACATACATCAATCTTATCAAAACTTGCATTCAGAGTGAAGTTGTGACCTCGGTCCTCTGAAAATGTCTGCAAATATATAGTAAAAGCATAACGCGAGTTTGCTTCTTTTTTACATAATTAGGTTAACGAGTTAACTACTTAATTTTGCACATAATGATTTAATGGGTAAAGTGAAAAAGCATGGTTTAATTGGTTAAGACGCTGAAATATTTACTATTAGCACTCTTCTTTTTGCATCCCAACTCATCTCTTATTGTCATATTGAGATTGATGATTATCACTTTTTTTTTAATGTAAGGATAAAATGGTCACTTTTTAGCTTGGTTGTGACAGTTTATTCATTTATGTAAGGATAAAATGGTCACTTTTTTTTTTACTTGACATGCTTACATACATGTCAATATAATATGAGTATAATTCTTGCTTTAGCACTTGTATAAATAATTGTCAGTTTTAGAATGGTAAATATTTTGATAGTTTGTTGGTATATTTTTGACGTTACTAATGACGCTGATTAGGTAATTTTAGGGCTGTGATGAGTGATGATGGATGATTTGGTTTGTCTTATTTAATTTCTTTTTCTTATTTAATTAATAATAACAATAAGGAGAAACCAAAGAAAAATAAAACGGGGTAAAAGAGTCAGTTTATTAGGGTTAACGGCATGTTTTTAACCCTGTTAGTCAAGGGACTAAATCCATAACAAAATGTAAAGTTAAGGATGAGTCTGGGAAAATTTTATAAACTTCAGTGCACTTATGATTTTGAGTAAAATATAGGGACTATTCTTCTAATTTACTCCTGATAAATTTTAGAGTCTCTAAATTTTGAAAAATCTCTAGTTTTAGTACCCATTTCTAAAGTCAGTAATTGTAACCAAATTAGAAAGGAAGTGAATTAAGTCCATCAATTTATATTTTCCTTAAAAGGCATAACATTAATAAATTGTAAAATGGCCGGCAAATAGTTAACTTTAACACAACAATTTTTCAAGAACAATAAAATGAAAATGATAATCAATATGAGGATTCAATTCTCGACCATTAAGCTTATGCAAAGTTAAAGAATTATTATCAGTTTGTATTTAGTGAGAAGAGGACCTGATGAGCAGATACACGATAAAGAACCGTGCGACAAATATCACCGCATTTTTTATCGGGACAAACAGCATCAACAAACAGTCCATAGGCTTGCAATGCCTGGAAAGGAACTATCGCCTGCCCAAAAAAATCAATTTAATCAGAATACAGAATACTACATTCCACATTATTATCAACAACTATATGATATTATTTTAATTTAATCTCTCGATAACTACTACATGTTAGCAGCAAAAGTCAAAGTTAGGACTCAAATAAACAACAAATCAAACCTCCAGGTCTTCCATGTAATCACCACATAACATCAAGATCTTCTTTGGACAACCCAAATTCGCCATTAAAGATGATAAATCCTTTAAATCAATGTGATGTGCGAAAGCCAAACCTTCGGAAACGACGAGTGTGCACTGTTGGTACTTGGGAGAAATATGCCGGTTTAAATACTACTCAGCCCCTTTCATTTATTCACACCAATGTGTGGATGTGATGAAATCATTTTTATTTTATTTTTTAATTATATATATATATATATATATATATATATATATATATATTATAATAAAACAGTACCTAAGAGTCCACGTGTCAATTGCTCGCCCCCTTCCCATTGACTTTTCCCGCCCATAATTTCTATGTAAATTTCCGAAATTGCCCAGAAACCTATTATAAACCCCTTCATTCCGTCTTCTGTATTTGAATTTGAATTCGAACAACACAATCCCAATAATTTAAGCATCAAATTAGGGTTCCACCTCCTCAAATCTCTCACAGTTTGCCATAAGACGTCTTTCTATGTAAACCTTATATATAAAGAAATCTTAATCTAGCCTTCACCAATCACCACCATACGTCGTTGTTACCACCGTGACTCAAAAATATGTCTCTTCAACATCTCTCTAAGAAACGTTGAGCGACATGAACCATACGCATGTAGGAATTCAATTCTATATTTTTTCTTATTGATTTTGATGTGTGTTTGTTGGTTTGGAAAGATATAGCTTAGCTTTGATCGACTAATTTTTCTGCAGCACCACAATTTAAGCTTGGTTTGGAGCGACGACAAATCAGAAGGTAAGTTTTGGTTCTCAAACCCTCAGTTCATATTTTCTCTCAATGCTTCGATTTGTACTCATGGTTAATATCTCAAACTCAACCATTTTCCATTTTTCATTTTCAAAGGTTGTGGTGTGCCCTCCTTTTATGTTTATCCCCTCTGTTAAAACTGAATTGAACTGAAAGGGGGGTTCATTCACCGGTGGAATTAGGTATGTTTATTGGTGTAAAATTATGCATGTTGGTGTTTTGGGGAAGTGAAAATTGCCTCGATGTAGAAAGAATATCATTTTTAAAGTATGCACAATTGACAGTTTCCTACCATGATTATCAGTATTTAAAAATCAAAATATAATGTATTCTTCCTGCATTCAATTTTAATTTGGATTCCATATCAATATAAATTAACAAACAATATAATTTCCTTTTTGAAAATATGTTTTTACAGCGTTTCTTTTGATAAACCCATTTTGATTTTGCATCTTCAAATGAAGAAGAAAGTTTCTTTTGATTTCTCATATATTCCTTTATGAATTTCTCAAGTTCGAGATTTTATATGTTGATTACCCAGAGACCATCCCCTATCTCAAATTATATATGTGTTTTGTGTTTACAGGTCCTCATCTCAAATTATATATGTGTTTTGTGTTTACAGGTCCTGGAATTGGTTGACGATTCATCTTCATCATTGGATATATGATAACAGGTATATCATAGGTTTTATTGTTCTTTTTTCACCAAGTGATTTGACTGGTGAGAAACAAAACGGTCTTTATGTATTGATTTGTGTAAGTTTTAAAACAAATGTTGGCATGATTGGCTTTTATTTCATATTAACGAAAATCTTTTCATTTTTTACATGGACTGGTAAAACAATGAACCATAGGTGTTCGACGAAATGTGTCAAAGAATGATTTCATGTCTTCTTCTAGAGTTAGGATTTTATAATTTCACATTCTGGAAGATTAGTGGCGTTTTACAAAAGATGAATATAAGCCTTATATATTTATTTAAGTTAATCTGATAATTTTTTGATTTCTAAATCATTTAGAAGTTTTGGGCCACCACGAAGATCTTTTATGTTAATTGGAAACAAGTAGTCACATTGACTTTTCTAATACATGGAAGAACATTATCTTGTATTGGTATGTGTTTTGCTTTTTTTATAGTCGTTTTCTAAGGATTACTATTTTACTGACATTTTTTACTATTGAGTTATCATATTTTATAGGTAGATTTTTGACATTTAATACATTTTGTAATGTGTATTTTTACTTCGTGTAAAGGCTAAAGCCCTAAACGAAATGAATTCATATGCCATATAATTAGAAAAAACCATTGAATTATTGTGTTTATAAGCTAATTTATTTCATATTCTCGCTATTTTTCAGGTTCTAATCTGTTTGATATGGCTGTTGTATCAATCAGAATAACTACAAAAGAAATCAATGTGAAAACGTAAATAAGTTGGGGCAACAAGGTGTTGGTTGTATAGGATCAAACAGATGGAGATAATTGTTATTTCAAGGTCTAACTGCCGATTTAAGTAAGTGAATTCCCCTTAACAATTTAGTTTTGTATTGATTTAAACGCTAATTATGTGTTTGATCGTATGGCATGCTATTAGCGTGGCATCCATAAATGCAATTTCTGACCACTTTCTTAAAAAGATTAAAGAAAAAGAGAGTGTACAGCCATGGATGAAGTGAACCCAAGAAATATTCTTGAGGTTCCTCTTATTGTTCCAAGTTCAAGAACTTGTGATCATATCAACTTAGGGGGAAGAATTAGAAGATGTAGATGGTTTACGATAAAATGGAGCATTGTTGCATCTCAATATTGGATAATAGAACTGAAAAAACTGAAAATAGCAGGGCCACTTTATTTGGTGAGTTTATTGCAATACACTTTGAAGACCATTTATGTGATGTCCGTTGGACATCTTAGAGAGCTTTTCCTTGCTGTTACTTTAATGGTTTTAGCTTCATGGTCTTACTACACTTTCAATCATTATTTTATTAGTAGGTCACATGTTTATTTCTTTGAACCATGTAATTGAACAATAAAAAAGGTTTATCCATATATAATCGTCGTTGAACAGTTTTCTGTATATATTTGAGTTTGTCATGAAATTAGATCCTACGTTATCTGATTCTTTGTTCTTAATAATTCTTTGTTTTTCCCTTAGAATTCAGGATTTTAATTCAACAGATTTGATTGTTGGTTAGTTCATAAGACCCACATAGTAAAAAAAAAAAGTAGATAGATGGTAGAAAGTAGAGACCAACAAATAGTATGTGATATACACATGGCAAACGTGTATATCATATGTCCCCTGGAAATTTGTTTGTAATTATGATTTAAAATTATCAATAGTGTTTTTTATTCTTATCCGTGTGTATATATATATATATATATATATATATATATATATATATATATATTATATATATATATATATATATATATATATATATATATATAGGTGGGTTCAATTGAGAAAATAAAAAAGGTTGAGAATGGGGGAATTATTCTCAGCCATTCATTTAATCTAAGCATAAAAAGACATGGTGGCAAACTTGTAAATATGATAATAACCTTCACTCTCAAATACGCAACTGTAATCGATCGTTCATCATCCAAATTTCTCCTCCAACCTTCAACAATCATCCAGATTTCTTCAATTAAACCATCATCAACATCATCCAGTGCTAATCAATCATCGATCTTCGTCAATAACATGTTTATCAACACGATTCAACAGTTAACAATAAAAATTCATTTTTGGTTCTTTTAATCCAACCTTCAATTCTGCTTGAATACGATCAGATCTTCAACATCTACGATTAATTATACTCCCAGCGTCATTAGATCAACATCATCGATAATCAACAAAAAATCCACTTCATATCATTCATTCAACATCGATTATCAAATAAAACTTCAAAATTGAGGTTAGAAAAAGATCAAATCGTTTTTTTTTTGAAAAATTTCATATAGTTCTCTATCAATCTACTATTTTGTAAGATTTAAATAGTCAAAGTATCATGTTTTTAACATTTTTAAAAAAGTTAAATTGTATGCACTCCAACTGTTTGATGAAATGCATAAACTAAATTACCACGTTATATTCATATATGAATATGTTTTCTCACCTGAATCAGTATATGATTATTAAAACAAAAAAACAAATATGCAAGTCTGTATGTTATTCATATGTGAATAACATATAAAAATTATATATATTTGTGAAAATACCTTGTAATATTCATATGTGAATATACTGTGTAATATTCATAACTGAATATATCATCTAATATTCACAAGTGAATATACTATGTAATATTCACATGTGATATACCATGTAATACTACGTAATATTCAGATATGATATCAGATCATGAAATATTATCTAATATTCATAAGTGAATATACCATCTAATATTCACAAGTGAATAAACTATGTAATATTCACAAGTGAATGCATCGTCTAATATTTAAATATGAATATACTATGTTTATTATATGCTATATTCATATATGAATGATACTTAAATTGTAAAAAAAATTAATCATAGTTTTTATTCATAAGTGAATAACGAATGTACTGTAGTAAAAACCTGATTCATTTTTATTCACTTATGAATAACGATAGCTGAAAATATAAAAAAAATAATTTTTTTATTTTATCTTAAAACTATATCAATATGGATGTCTATTTGTAGAGAATAAAAAATCATGAATTTTGGTATATTTAAAATCATTTTTCGATAAAAATAGCTTCTTAAAAATTAAAAAAAAAAACGAAAAAAACTATGTTTTTGTATATATTAAGGTAATGCTTAGCATAGTTTAAGGAAACATGTTTTGTTGGAAAACACATGTCTATTCCTTTCCCATTTCCGCTGGTACGACGGAGGCTTTTGCGGCAAAAATAAATGAGTGGCTGAGAATGATTCTCCTATTCTCAACCTTTTTTTTTCTCAATTGAACCCTCCTCTATATATAATGATTATTTGAGAACTCAAAATAAATGAATGTTAGGATGGTTTGTGGCATTTTTGTAAATAAGAAAAAAGATGCGGGGGCATGTTATTGAAATTAATCAGGGGCATTTTAGAGATTACATATCCTTCTATGATTGCTTACATTACCCTCACGTCGTCTCAATCGTCTCCGGCATCCCTTCGATGAATGATCTGTAATCTCACGTGACCTCTCCTTTGGTCGATCTACGTTCAACGATTGAAAATCATCGTTGACGCTATCTCTGCCTCACGTTCACTCACTGTCACCGGCGATCGACCTCCACCTCATATCTGATGAGTGATTTTACATCACCTCCTTATCTCCGACGATTGATTCGCG